TTTTTAGAACTTCACATGCCTAAAATAGAGGCAGAGTTTAATGTATATTTCAAGAGGCCTTCTTAAAATTCATTTTTTCTTTCAATCAGCTTTTAGAACTTTAATTACATTACTTAACCCAAATTGTTTGTGAAAAAGAAAAAAAAGTTAAGTAATATAATTAAAGACATAAGAGTATTAACATAAGCAATACCCATTCCTAATCAGAATTGGCCCTTACATAATGCCTGGTAAAACGGTGCCTTAATATTTAAACAAACAAGGAAACTGTCACACAACTCTTTTTAATATAGCGCTAAAACCCCACTCATTTAGTGAACAGACCTGGCGAACCATAGTCACCAACAGATAAAGAAATTATCATGCATAGTGAACAGATCTATCCCCAGTTAATTCCAAAGGTGTTGCAGATTTGATTGTATATTTCCCATGACTAATTTTCTGTGTGTGCTCTTCTCATAGCCGTGTGAGAATATAGTCGGGACCGGGCTCTAAAAGTATCTTTAAAAAGAGTCTGTGCAATTATTTGTGGGAAACAGGAGTACATGGGCTTCAAAGGGGGTGCAAATCCATTTGTTTTCAACTTCTCCCCACAAACTTTTTGAGGGACTCGTGTGTGTGTGTGTGTGTGTGTGTGTGTGTGTGTGTGTGTGAATGAATGATGTATATGTTTGTGTTGAGTATGTGTGATGTTTGGTCTGGGTGTGTGGTACCTATGTCTTGTTTTGGGTTTGTGTGTTATGTTTGGTGTGTTTGTGTATGTGTGTTCTACATGTCTTTGTATACATCCACTCACCTGTATGCACATTTGTGGCTGCTTTTCAAACCCTTCAAAATGTTGGACTCAAGTACAACATATTTTTACAAAATGGGTTTTCACTTTTGTCTTTACATAGTCATTCTTTAAACAGAACCCCACATGTAGAGCCAGCCCAGAGAAACATGATATTTCTGTGTATGCTATTTTGTATTACTTGTGTTTTGAAATCATGTCTAGACAACTGCACAGGATTTGTCTTATTTCACAATTATTGCGGGACTCTCTGCAAGATGAAAATTAAAAGAATATGGATGTAAGCAATTGAGACTTATGCACTAGCAGAAAGATTCAGGAAGTTGTTGAGGCTGATTTTAGACCAAAAGATCACAGGAAATGAGGCATTCTTCTTCTCTTGGAAGATACTGGTCCAGAGGCTGGCACCAGAAGCTTCCCAGCACCCACACATCTAAATACCTCTTCATTCATAATTATACTTCTCAGCAATATTTTGGAGCTAGGAATAGAATTATGACAGCCACTGAGTCATAAAAGAGGGTTGAGGACCTGCATCTAATCAGCCAAGTTCCATCTTTCCAAAGCTAGCTCTCCAGGAAGGGATGAGAAGTCACTCAGAAATATACGGTCGTTGCTAAACCCACTCCTACTGTCGCTGAGTAACTCTGTCTATGCAGGCGCGTTCCTGCTGGAGGGCCAGCTATACTGATGGCTGAATGTGAGCCCTAACATAAGGCCACGGCATGGCACCTCGGGAAGTTTGATATGAGACATTATGCTTTGACCCCTTGTGAGGACACAGAACCCTGGGAGGTCCTGCTTACATCCTCTAAGACTGAGCCCTCAGTTCATTTTCCACTGGTATTCCTGGTCTCTCTACCATTACTGCCTTTCCCTGTGTTTTTCTGCTGTCTTTTTAAATTATGGCACTTAGAAAAGATATGTTTACTGGCTTATTTATTTTTAATTAAACAATATACCAATATATTCTTGTTATAAAATATTCAAACAAGATGAAAGTTTATAAAATCAAAATCAAATTTCCCCCTTCACCTGCCAATCCTATCTCTTTTCCCCTGTGATAACTACTGTTATTAGTTTAGTGTGCATTTTTCCAGTGCTTTCTCTATGAATTCACATACATTTGTAAATGTAGTCATAAATATATAGTTGACTTGTGGGTTCTATTTTTTTTTTACATAAATGACATCATATTTTACAAGTTGTTCCAGAACATCTTTTTACCCACATGCTGCTGCCACACACACATACACACACACACACACATACAAGTTGATGGACAGTATTCTCTATGCCTGTATCTAGTATGGGCCTCGTCTTCCATTGTACATGTGCTTGATGATGTGTTTATACATTTATACATGACTCTGTTGTTGGGCAATTAGGTGATTGATTGCCTTTTATTTCCTTATTAGAAACATACAATGAAATGGTATGACCTGAAGCTTAACTTCTTTCTCTTCCCCTTTACAAGATATGCATTAATGCCAACTTCCTGTCCCCACCGCCAGCCCTCTAAATTGGGCAGAGCATCCAGCCTCACCTCATCACACCATGCTCTCTGGCTATTTCCCTTTGGTTGCACTGGAAATCATAGTCAGCAGGGCTGTCTTTTGCCTGAGACTATAGTGACCTGCTATTAAATAAACAGCCACTTGAAACCCACCCCCTCATTACAGTCTGAAAGCCAGAGGTTGCCAGAGGACAGTTAGTTAAATCAAAACAATTTCCAGGCCGGAAGAAGATGTAGAACCCTGGCGTTATTCCTTCCCCCGTTTGTTAGCAATAGCTTGATTGAGTATTGAAAGCAGGCCTGAAATGCTGCCATCAGCACCAACTACCCTTTAGATTAGCACACAGCTCCGATTCCCTTGAATGCTGTTAGGCTGGCTTAATGTCAAGGCATGAAAAAAGATACTTGTTAAATAATTTCCCAAAGCTCTGGTTCAATCTTTAATTTGTTTGGCCCCCCTTCCCTTCTTTTCCCTCAGCCTCACTTTTGCTTTTCTTTCTTTTTTCCCTTCCCCCTATACCAAAGGGTACACCATTAAGTCGGGCTGATTTAAGGGCCGTCAACATCAACCTCTGTGACATGTGCGTGATCCTGTCAGCCAATCAGAATAATATTGATGATACTTCGCTGCAGGACAAGGAATGCATCTTGGCATCCCTCAACATCAAATCTATGCAGTTTGATGACAGCATCGGGGTCTTACAGGCTAATTCCCAAGGTAAGGACAGCCTCTAATACTTTTCTGCTCTGCCTGCGGGGGACAGGGGCTGGCAAGAGGGATATCCTTCACTTGGTAATTCAAAGAGGCCCACATCAGCCTTCCTGGCAGTACAACCTGCGGGCAGTGGGATGGCTTTTAAAGGGGTATCAGCTGCTCTTCTCACCTTCCTGGGAAGTAGGCTTGACAGCTACACACCAGAATCAGCTCCTTTCCGAGAGGACGGACAAGCCTTTAGATTGCCGCCACCTCGGCTCTCCCAAACAGTGATTTTGGACCAGGGTCATCAATTACATGCAAAGTATTTAAAAGATGCTGGCTGAACAGGCCCAATGTTTTATCGCACTACATATTTTTGCCATTGACCGAGGTTGGGGGCATTATGCTTTGCCATTGTTAGAGTTGCAGCTGAGGTGTGTTGGACAGGAAATGGTAGTTGCTAGAGAATGGGGACTCTACAAGTCTTAAAAGTCATTTAGTGAGAGGTGACACCTGTCTACCCATACATTCTCCTAAGGAGGTTCAAGACGGATAAACGAACACCTAGATCTTCTCAGTTCTGCCTCGGATCTCCAACGTCACTTACTCTGGGATCATGAGCAGGCAGTGCCTGGCAAAGGCCCTGTCTGAGCATCTTCCAAAGGGAGCACAGTGGGGACCTCCAACACACAGCCACAGTCGAAAGGAATTTGGCATAAGAGGATGCAACACATTTTCCTCCAAGTCACATCCCTGTGTAGAATGGCCATGAACCCCAGGGGGTTTGTCATAGGTGGCCTCCTGGGTGGTGGCATTGTTCATAAGAGGGGTTCCGGGATCCCATTATTCCAGGGTCCAAGGATGGGGGAGCATAAAGAGCTGCGACTGCGACGAGTTTGTGATGCCAACACGTGGTGAGCGTATGTCCCTCAGAACCATGGCTGCTCCTGCCTCAGCTGCATAGCCAAGCCCACCTTTGCATCTCTTGTGTGCAACCTATCTCACTGACTGTGTCCCCTACCCTTGTTGGCTCTTGACTTCACCACATGTGGTGTCTTTCTTCAGTGATTAGCACTTCCTGATGATGTGGCCAAAGTAAGCATGTTGGGCAATGTTCTGCTATGATCCATCAGATTTTCATTGACCTACCTGTGGAAACAGATCGTCGGGATATTCTTCCTATTGCTTTAGTTTGGATACTCCACTGGAACGTGTCCACGATGGGCAAAGGCTCTCTTTGTATTTGAAGTGCTCATGGCATGGTTTCCAATATAGCCTATGCGAACTCTGGCGAGATATAAAAACAAAACCAAACCCATATTTTTTTTCCACAATTAGTGCATAGCTTCTATGTTGTCTTGCCAACTGTTCCCTGCTCTCCAATGTTTGCAATAGTGCCATACTAATGGCACATTGGTGCTTACCTAAATACTTTCAAGGATGAGGGAGCAGTTGGAAAACAGATAGACATGTGTGTGATTTGCAGGGGAATAAAGGGGTAGTTGTCATGGAGCCAATTCTGATCCATGACGAACAGCCCCACACATGCCCGACTTGGAGTGGGCTCCATGGGATTTTCAAAGGCTGGTTTCAAAAGCACCTCCCTGGGCCCATCTGAGGAGGCATTCTTTCTACCAGGCAAACTTGTCTTTCACTGATCAGGGCAGCATGTGAACAGTCTGCATCACCCAGGGAGTCTACTGGGGTAGGAAGCGCTGTTTACTGACAGTTGAGCAAAGGTTTCACCTGCTGGGCATTACAAAGCCAGGAATGATAGTGATGAGGGCCTCTTCCCAGGGTGGTGATGGCCTAGAGTCTGCCAGGGCCCCGTGGCATTCAGTGAGATTTAAAGTGGAAGTGCAGTGAAAGCAGTTGCCGCCAGTCTCCGAGCAGACAGGAGGTCTGAAGCAGCTGTCAGGGGAGCTTCCTGAGAAGCCCTTGCTCCACTGCTGATGTCTGAGAGAATAAGGGATGACTTCCGAGAGCAATCGAACGACTCTTTCACAGGGGTTGCCTAAGACCATCAGAAACCACATATTTCCGATGGTTGGGGGTCACCACAACATGAGGAACTGTATTGAAGGGGTGCAGCATTAGGAAGATTGAGGACCACTGTCCTAGAGGGTTTGAGGATCCTTAACCTCTAGGCAAGCTCAGTACAGCTGGGGAGAGAGTCAAAGGTGGCCTTTTGGATTTTGGCTCCTCCGGTCCTTCTAATGGTGTGTCGGTCTCTAATTTTATTCTGACTTGGGATAGCCAGAATGTTTGCCTTCTTCTGACATAACCCTGACACCTCATTGCACCCTCTCCACACCACCACCCTTGACGCCACTCCGTGTAAATCTAAATCTTTGGCTCCACATACTCATCTATGCCTCAGGAGAGAACAGAACCCCAAGGCCCTGAGAGCTGTCCTGAGCAACTCATGGACCAGCTGCACGCTGAGGAGGCAGCGCCTGCTTCCTGCCTGACCGGCACAGAGTCAGGTAGAAAAGCCCTTCAAAACCAACCAAACCAACCCCCCTACCCCTGAGTCTATTTCAACTCAGAGGGACCCTCAGGAAAGAATAGAATTGCCCCTTTGGTTTTCTGAGGGCATAGCTCTTTATGGAAGTAGAAAGCCTCATCTTTCCCTGACCTTGCAGTTGGCAGCAAATGTGCAGCCCACTGGGTCCCAGGGTTTGGAGGACTATAAATTGACCTTCTGGAAAGAGAAAGAGGCAAGCTAGCTCGTGATTCTTGCCGTTAAGCCCTTGTGAACGGTTCCCACATCCCCCACTTGGCATGGACATCACCTGGAAGCTTGTTTGAAATGCAGTCTCTGGGCCTATCCCCTACCTGCTTGATCAGAATCTGCATTTTCACAAGATCACCAAGTGACTCCCAAGCACTACTTCAAAGCACATTAAAGTTTTACACAAAGAAAACATGGCCCAATGAACACATTGGTCAACCCAATTAGGATCCAACCCCACCCCCCACCCCCGACCCCCTAGGTAGGAACTCACGGGTGGAATCAGAAGACAGCAGCTGCTGCGGCAGCTCTCCCTTTGCGCAGAGATGGAGCTGAGCAAGAGGGGCAGGAGAACCTCTTCATTCCCCTATGTGTCTGGTTTCTTCCAATTCAATAATTATGATTTTTAAAGTAAATAAACTGGAATCGCAACATATCATTTTGTTCCAAAAGCATCTGCTATAAGCATCTCTTCCAACTGTCCTAAACCTTATTCCAACCTCTCAGATCCTATATGAAGGCCAGGCTGCTAAAAATTCATCTGCGTATCTACCTAGATTTCATACAATCCTCAAAGTCCTTGGCTTCTCTTCCTAGGATGGTAATAAGCAAGAATGAGGAAATGTTGTCAGAGGTGTGGAGAAAGAGGGCAGGGAGCTCAGTTTTCCTCCAAGAGGAAAACAAGAGAGTGCTCTTTCTCTTGTATGCACACACACCATTAGAAGACAGAGATGAAGTGCTAATGAAACTATTTAAAAAGAAGGAGACAGAGATGTGTCTCCATGCCTGGTAGCAACTTTTTAGGAGCCAGGTCAGCAGTGAAGTTGAATTCATTCCCCCCAGTAGCCAGGAAACAGTCCGTTTTAGCTTGCAATGACTGAATGCCAAAGCCGTAGGCCAACCTCTTTCTTATAGATTTTCTACCACATCTGCTCTGCTCCTGGCCTGTTCCTCGTTTTGAATATTCTGTGCTAGTAACAATCTGGTCTTCCAAAGGCTCATCAGCAATGGCCATCAACGTGGTCAGCAATGGCCATCAACATTGGCGTGTTGTTCCTTCCTCCCCAGTGGGCCAATAATATGTGCTCCCCTCAGACTGCTTATTCTAACCCAACTCCTTGGATGCCTCTCAGCCCAAGGCCCAGGGGAATGGCTGCTCTCCCTGTCCAACTGGGAAACCCTGTGGCTTCAGACTTTTGTACTCTTCATCTGGATATTTGGCATGACCAAACATGAAAAAGGATTAAAAATGCAGGGACACCAGATGGATTTCAAGTACTCTTTTCATTGTGATGCCCCAGGGTGGTGAATGATTTGACTCAACTATTAAACTAAAAGGTTAGTGGTTCAAGCCCACTGAGTAGTACAGTGGAAGAAAGGCCTGGTAAAAAGTACTGCCCAGAAAACTTGGCGGCGGCAGTTCTACACCATACTGTATGGGGTGATCATGAGTTGAAACTGGCTTGACAGCAATAGGTTTGGTTTTCATTTTGAGAAATGGTACTAGCTCCCCCTGAGTGATAGTACCTAGATTTTTTGCCACTATCACAACTGTCTGTAGACCTTGACCTTGGTTCTCTCTGGAGAGCTTTGTTATCATCTGTCCAGGTGTCATCTGGACAGACACATGGACTCAGACCAATGCCTGTGCTCTTGGTTCAGAATATCCATGCATCCTAATGACGTTTTTCTAAGTTTCCATGGTTGAACGTGAAAACTGTGTCTTACTATTACGACGGTGGAGTCTTCGTGGGATTTGTGTCTGAACACTAGCCACTAGGTGTTGCGAGGTCTCTCAGAATAACGACATCTCTCTTCCCTCCGGCCCTCCCTTCGCACGTTGCACTTCGGTGTCCCTCTTCTGGTCCACATGGTGTCAGACTGACCCAGCCGAGGGACTCCGGACCAGACACTTTCTGTAAAGATCTGAGACGTGACGGCTGGTCGTCATAAACTATTACCGTGAGAGGTGGCATGCCCTCCTCTGGATGCCATATCCAATGTGACAGTTGAGTCTGTGGATGCAGCTTTAATATACAGCCGACAAGACTGCAGTGACAATTATATAAAGCAGGTGAAGCCACTCTTGCTGGTCAGCAAACAGCTCCGAACCACTTTACAGCTCTTTACCAACAACTAAGTGCCTTCATTTACAGAGCACCTGTCACTTCCTTTTGGCTGGAAAGCCGGTGTCTTATTGAGCACACATTTATCTGGGGAAAACATTTCAATTTACATCAGCTAGTACAACAGTGGCTCTTGCCAGACGATTTCTCGGTGCTTCTGA